TACAGCCATACCAGGGTGGTACAGCGGTTGGATTCGAGTCGAGATACCTCAGAGAGACAACTGTCGCAACCCGTTACGCGCCCGGCGCGTTCTTCTCTTTCGTCCTCCTAGCGCCAAACGATCAGAACCACCACATGTTCGTCTCGGCTCCACACTCCGGATTGCTGGGCCAGCGCGAAACCACAGAGCCCCCGCGGTACACCGAAACTGGTGTGTTCACAGAACTCATGGGCAGAGTGCAGGATATCGGCCTGGTGTCGGAGCCCTTTTCAGCGAGGAATGAACCGCTCGGATTTGGCAACGAGCTTTCGACCCAGTTCGACAAACCCCTAAGTGAATACGCCATCATCACATCAGCCGGTATCGAAACGGTTCGACGGAGGAGGCTTGTGGATATCTTCGCTTCTATTGTGAAGAATGGAGGTCACGAGGGTGCTGAAGGCGACATCCGCAAGCTGGCGAAGCAGTACGGTCTGGCTGAGACTTCTGCTACCGCTCTGGCGGTTGCGTGCGGTCAAGGCTCAGACGTGGGACCCGATTCGCGAATTGCAAAGGTCACCGATCCCGAGGTCATTGACTTCGCTCGCAGGGTGTTCATCGAATTTGGCGGCAAAGCACATTTGACAGAGAGCGCAACCGTCGAAGGCTTAAGTGTGGAGAACGTCCGCGCTTCACCAAGACACGATGGTATCGCCATGTACGTGTCACGCATCATCCGTTCAATCTGGAACACGCCAATCATCACGGAGGCTGTCACTCCCACCGGCCCAGTTCTCACATCGACACATCCGATCACCAAGTTGCAGGAAGTGCAACGCTCGTTGGCTCAACTTCAGGAGTTCCTTGAATCAAACAGATCTTTCATCGAAGGTCTGGCCGGTCCAGAGGCGCTTGGACGCGCATCGTCGCGACAAGAAGAGGTTGAGCTCCAGGGCGAGAACAGAGCGCTTACTAGCTTGTTGCAGATGATCAACAACATTGTTGAAGGCATATCTTTCGTTCTGGTACTCTTTGAGGAGCGTGTAGAAGACATCTTGGTTCTTCTGCCGGATCCTCAGTTACAGGGGAGAGTGCGTCAACTCACCTTCCAAGGCCTTTTCTCTGTCAAAGAGGGCAAAGAGCTTGCAAGGGAGTTGGTCAAGGCTATAGTGAACCGTAACATTGCCAAGGGTTCTAATGTCGAATCTGTTGCTGAAGCTCTGCGGAGGAAGTGTGGCAGCTTCTGTAGCTCAGACGACGTCGTCATTTTCAAGGCACAGGAGAGTCTGAAGAAGGCCGCCGATTCCGGTGCGAATGCCGAACGAGGGCGCATCCTACTCAATGACAGTCTGAGATTGTTCGAGCAAGTGGCGAAGAGTCTGAGTTACGAAAACCTGGCTGCTACAGTCAATCAGTACATTCAGCTCGAGTTCTATGCGGGTAAGTTTACCTAACACTCCACTCTTCGACACTACTAATATGATATTCAGGTGCTATTAGACTTGCTTTGAAGGTTGCGCAAGAGTGGGACCGTGGTAACAAAGCTCTGTCTTGGGTACGAGACAAGAGCGAACAGAACGTCGATCCGAATGACGCGCGTCGAGAATACTTTGACAAGCGTGCTTCTTGCTACACATTGATCTGCAAGGTCATCGAGGCTGTAGACCACGCCTACAATACTCAGGGCCCTGTGCCCGACGGTGTCATCTCCCCGGTCACACGTCGCAAGCATGAAGCGTATGAGCAAATCAACAACTCAGACGACGAGGTCTTCCAAAACTACCTGTACGACTGGTACATGCAAAACGGCTGGGCTGAGCGGTTGCTTGAGATCAACTCGCCTTTCGTTGTCGACTACCTGCGCCAAAGCTCGGAGACGAACCTTGCGCATGCGGACCTGTTACGGCGCTACTACGCCCACTACAACGACTACCTCAGCGCTGCTGAGACACAATACCAACTTGCTAAGAGCACCCTGCCCTTGACACTGGAAAAGAGGATTGAGTATTTGTCGCGCGCAAAGGCAAATGCTTCGACGCGGATGAACGGTTTCGCAGAGAATGGAGTACGCAACAGGCAATCAAGACAGGAGCTTCTGCGAAACATCACCGACCACCTAGACATTGCCAACATTCAAGACGATGTGCTACAGAGGATCAAGGGTGACGAGCGTCTTTCCGGTAAGCGGAGAGAGGATGTCATCGCCCACCTTAACGGCCAGATCCACCCGCTTGACGAAGTAAGCTATTGCAAAATTCTTTGGGGATGACTTGACTAACAATGCCTTAGCTCTACCACGACTACGCCGACCAAGCAGCATACTACGATATCTGTCTGTTGATATACCACGCCGCCGACTACCGCAGTGTGCCAGACATTCGGTCGACATGGACTAACCTCATCGACCAAACTCACCGGAACGCTCTCGCCGACCGACAGGGCGCGCCTTGGGAAATTGTCGCGTTGAAGGTCGAGGACCTTGGTCACCGAACCAACCTCAACGACAACGTCTTCCCCGTCAACATCGTCCTACAACTCCTCCTCCAGTACGACCTCGAGTTCTACGTACACGATGCCAATGCGCCGAATGCGCAGAACCTCGCACTCAACAGCAATCTTACATGGCCGATCGACGTTTTCCTTAAACTTAACGCGCCGTTCGAAAGTCTGGTTGCCACACTGGAAGCGCTGTGGTATGCGCAAGAACAGCCTTTCGCTGGCCGAAACCGCAAGCTGCTCGTCAAGTGGATCATCTACCTTGTAGAACAATGGGGCGCAGTCAGCAGACGATCCGGCGCACTATTCGGCGGTCCTGAGAATGCCATCGGTCTCGCAGAGGTGATGCGCATCATCTTAAGCAGCGACGTTTTGGGGCGCGACATGGACGACCAGGCATGGATCCAGCGTGCTCGGGATCTCAGTGCTGTTCTTGAGGAAGCTGCGCGTTGAGAAGTCATGACCTGAGGCGGAAGTAGAAGGAGCCACGGATGAAGCGTTGTGAAAATATACAGAAAGCGATGATTGTGTATTTTGGGTTGTTTCTCTTCGTTAGCATTCTTGCAGCGCGAGGCGTTGAATAGGTTGCATGAGTATTGGGAGGGGTGACTGGCGTAAAAAGCATTTGACCCCATCTTGTAGGACATAAGACGAAGACGGAGCATAATCAAGGCTAGTGTATTCTTGAATGAAGTATTATAATGGAAGGACATTTGATAGGACCTGTGAGACGTTGTGAGGTCGAGCTTTGGGAACTGGCGATTTGTCGGACTTTAGGGTTCACGTTAACACCGTATCGATACGCGTTCCCAAGCATCGTCACTCTGCGCATCTTCTCCAACACTTGTACCCGTACTCCATACCCCACATCCTACAGCTCCCACCGCGACAAACAAATACTTTCGACCGAATCGCCACGCCATGTAACCCCTCTTCCATACCTCACGATCCTCCGTCCCAACCCCCACACAATGCCAATCTGCATCTCATGCCGCACCCCGGTGCGCACACTCTACACGACCTACTCCAAAGCCGACGACCGCGCCCTTGGAAAAGGCGTTCGCCTAACTCAATGTCCCGTATGCAAGAAATTCGCGGACAAATACGTCGAACACGACTTTGTAGTCCTGTTCATCGACCTCGTGTTGATCAAAGCGGAGGTGTATCGGCACTTACTGTTCAATCGGTTGGGGAAACATGAGGGACGATTGGGGTTTGATGTATGTATTCCCATTCATCCCTGTATATGACATGGAGGGAGTGGACGTGTTAAAGCAAGACAACAGTAGCTAACATGATTCCAGCGATCAATCCTCCGCCTCGGCATCCTCCTCCTCCTCTTCGACGTCTACCTAACCTGGGCGCGCATCGAGAAACTGCCCCTCCCACCTACATCGCCCTACCACCCAACACCCTACTCCCCCTCCTCACCCGCTCTAAACACAACATCCACAAGCCCCCTCGTCGCACCCCACGACGGCATCACAAACGCCGTAGTCCTTCAAGCCCACCCACTAGGCCTCCAATACCTCTTCTTCCTCTGCCTCGTCACCCTCTGCACACTAGCCTTCCACCTCCCCATCCGCCTCCTCTGCGCCTTCGACGCTGCCCGCCTCCCTAGCTCCACACTCCGTCGCTTGTGGCGGAGATGTATACCTAGTTTCGACTCCCCTACACCACTGTCAACTGCACTGCTCGTGAGTAGTTGCACGAAATTGTTTCCTATACTGCTTATTATCTGGGACTACGATCTGCCTAGTTCGGCTACAGCGGTGAGCTGGGCGGTTATTGTGAATAATATTGCGGCGCTGGAGATACTTATGGATTGTGGGTATGTGAGGGCGGGTGTGTTGGTGGGGATAGGGGCGGGGCTGAGGACGGCGGTTGGATGGGGGATTTTGAGGGCGGCCGGGTTGGGGACCGGGTGGGAGGGGTATTGGAGGGAGTGGACTGTTTTGGGGGGTGTTTGGGAGTGGGTTGGTGGGTTGGTTAGTGTTTCTTGAAGGCATCTCGAGAGTTGGGCATGGGTGAGCGTCTCTGTTTGCAAGCAATGATACCCATTTGATATTTGTACAAGTCGAGAAAGACTCCGTAGTAACGCCAAAAAGATCAACTATACACATGCGCTCAAGTATTCGGCAATGCACTGCTCTCGTTGTTCTTCACTGATGGCTCCAGACGCGGCTTGCTAGACAGAATGCAGCTGCTAGAGCATAATGCATCTCTCCAGTATATGCCCTAGCACTTCCTCTCTGCCGCCTGGTCCAAGCCACCCCGAGCCATCCTTCTCACAACCTGCATATGCATACACCCCTCACATCTAGCCTCCCCAGTCGAGCTTCGCTAACGCCCTCCATTGTATTCCGGTCGCAAATCGTTTCGTACAGGCGAGATAAGAGGATGGAGTTGTGCGAGGAAAGTAATCGCCCACATGATATACATGGCCGCGGCAGAGAGAACGAGTGTAGATCGCCAGACCCTGTCCCATCATGTTAGCTCAAGGTGTCTCTCTTCCTCCTTGCATCTCAAAATGCGCGTCTTAGCTCGCTGTCGCTGTCGTTGATGTTGACATCCATATCCTGACTCGTCTCATGCTCATTGCTGAAACGAACTCGTCTCCCATCGCCAGCGCCGCGCTTCTTGCACACGGCTAGCAGCTTCTCTCGCGCGTTCTCATTCTCGTCGCGCAGACACGGCTTTGGGGGTGCGGGTGGTGATTTGGGTGGTGACTTTGTGCTGGACGAAGAGATGGTGGGAACGTACGTTTGGTTCTCGCCTTTGGGAGCTAGGAACCAGGCGGCGCCGCAGAAGATGACGGTGACGATGAGGCCGATGATTGGTGCCCAGCTGGGGTTATGTTAGTGGCTGGTATGCTGGAGAGCTGAGTTGCGCGGAACTGACCCGTTCGCCATTGTGAAGGTTGCGGTGGTTGTTGACGCGCTGGTGAGATGGCGTTGGGGGATTTGCTGGGGGCGATGCGACGATCAGGTGACGTTCGAGCTTCGAGGCTAGTAGAGGGCGCGGATGTCGTGATGTGGAGATGGCTTCGCCGTGGTGTCGCGAGCTGCGAGCTTGCGATGACGCTGCGGATCGAGGTTCAAGGGCTTGGCGCCAGGCGCGTCGTGATGGTGTCACGTGTGAACCCACATGGCCGTTCTAAGGTTGCCTGGAGTAGGCTCCGAGGTCCTGCAGTCTTTATTTGAACATCATGTCTTTCTGAGTTTTACTCGCATCACCTCCTTCTCGCATTTCTGATTTTTTGTCATCGGCGCACTCCCACGCGTGTTCCCCAGTCTCTCTTGCCGCCGTCGCTTGTTCTTGCCCAAGCAACATGCATGAAGATCATCACAGGGCTTCCACGCGCCTGCCTCACTTACTCCTCATATCGGTCTTTTTAAGCTTCATTCTTCTGTTGCACAGTTTTGGAATAGTTCTCGTAGGCCGTCGCGGTCTCTTGATCCCGAGGTCTCCTCCGGCGTCCAGTACCACCCAGCCCGTCAAGCTGATCACTAGCCTACTAGGACTTTCCTTGACTCTCCCATCGGTGGTATCATTTTCGAACAGCTTTCTATTCAAATCTATTTGCTTGTCCAGTACTGACGCACAGTGGCCTTAAAATCGATCATGCTCCACTTTGTTGAGCATCCATCTAGCTATACCGTTTGGGATCACAAATCTGTGGCACCGATGAAAGTAGCTACTAATGTCATAAAGGACGCTTCAGACGTTGCTACGCGACTTTATTCGAGGCTTATCGTTGATCGTCGATGAGCCCTTGTCGATATCCTACCAGTCGAACACGATAGATTACTCTCCAATGAGCTTCTACAATGCTCAGCCTCGTCTTGACTATAGTGTACCTTGCATATACCCAGCCCCCACGATTACATTTGAGGTCGGGTACTACATGGTCTCGGAACTTCGTACATTAGGTTCCTGAGCAGCTCCCTGTAAAGTTTCATCACTCAGAATCTCAGAGTTGCTCGGCGCAAAGGCTGCTAATTGGCACAGAGGAATGAGGATGCGGTGTGACACGCGACTCGCCTACATGAGCACTGCATATGGCTGATGTTCCCGCATACCATCCGCAGACAAAACGGCTCGGTTCGCTCTTGTATCTACGGTTCGACGATAGAGTTCACGAACACTTCTTATCATCGAGATCTTTGCGTTTCACGCCGGGATCAAGACTTGGACCGTCGGGACGGTTAGAAGGAGGGGAACCCGGATCCGCACCAACCATGTCCGGCACCCCCGTCTTTGGCCGACCCATTATGCAGTGCTTCTCGGCATCGTACCTCAGAGGGTGGTAACATGCATGGCTGAATTCCCAAGCGTCAGATACGCTCGAGTTCACTTGGCTCATCGCTAGTAGACCGCTTGCTCAATTCATCAATTGTGGTCGAACTTTCAACGTCTTCACCGCCTACTTGTGAAGGGTTATCTGGTTGTTATCAGCTGCTTCAACAAGTGGAAACCCAAGTCCTGATCACATGGTCTCAGTGGAATGCATGCAAGCTCGTAATGTTGAAGGATTCGGTGGCAGAGGAACCGGCTGACTCGAACTGTACAACTTAACCGGTATCGTCAGGATATCGTCAAAGCGCCGACAGCCTCGAATCATAGCCAGGATCTCTGTATGTACCTACAAGCTAGCCGCAGCTATGCTAGCGGACTTGAGTTCGCCCTTGTGGAATCGACGCTTAGCAGCATGGACTCGAGACATGCTACCGCAGCCTTCCCCACAAAGTGAAGCAACGAACGGGATTATCGAATGGAACTATCCTATGCAACGTAACATGTTACAGGCTGCCTGAAGATGGTACAAAGCACGGTTGTCTTATTTTTGAGGCAATCAAATTGGGAAGATAGACCATTTCAGACTTGTGGGCACAGTCCTTCCGCCACGCACCCTGCAGTGCTACGTGGACAAAAGCAGTACTACCCAGTATTGACAGGGTGATCTGCACCACACCTTTGGGACCCAAGAGTATGTGAGCTCATCCAATGGCCCAAACTTTCGCTAACATCCTTGTGGTCGACCTGACCTTCGGTAAACATTTTGTGGCACAAACAGCCTGGCAAGCTATATTCCGTATGCCTTGCTTTCCCTACAGGGCTCGAGAAGTTATTTGATCACAGCTCCGTCTGCGCTGGCTCGCGCAATTCACTTGCATATAGCCTCCCATACTTCGGATCGGTTAGTCCAGTGGTTCACTGGGTTATGTCATTCTTGTGCGCCTACGATCTATAACGTGTAACAGCCGTCTTGATAAATATCGAGACGATTATCTCATTCATTTCAAGCATCAGTTACTATCGAGAAATCACATCTTCACGAGATGGAATCGGATGAGATAGTCTTCGTCGAGCATCCGCCCTCAATGCCCATTCTTTCGTCATCGCGACCGCTTCCGGAACCCAAATCAAACGGCAAACAAGCAAACCTCAATCCGTATCAACAAGAGGCCCATTCTACCGTAGAGATGCCTTCTTCTCCAGTCGAACACGGCTCTTTCGAACGCAATCTTCCATCCATACCAACAGAGGAGGACATGAAAGAACGGATGACTGAGAGTGGGTCATCACGGCAACGTCAAAGCTCCGATTGGTCTCTCAGTTCGGACACACAAAGTGAAGATATGACGAAGCACGAAGAATGCAGTCTGGGGGTATTCACCGCAGGACAAGCTGCTCCATTTCCACCACCACCGCCGCCGCCACCGCCGGTTGATTGTCACTTTGGCCCCGGAGGATTCAATTCTCAGATGCCTCATCCAGTAAGTTTGAAACCAAACCCGAGAATGAGAACTTGATCTGACTGTGTATTTTAGCCGCCACCTCCGCCACCTCCTGTATGCGATATACCACATACCCATTGCAGAATGGTCGTAAGCTGACATTAGCAGCCTCCACCACCACCAGGCTTACCTGACTTCATGAACGCTCCGATGATGACCTCAGCACTTCCTCCCCCAGTATGTTCAGAACGCGGTCAGATCAATGCATTGCTGATCAAAACTAGCCCCCGCCCCCGCCACCCGGTCCTCCTCCGCCCGCATTGACCATGAGCCCATACAATGCAGGAGAAGAAGTGCATACCCCGAATCAATTCATCCAAGTGCAATACTCCAACGAGTCCATCTCTGACTTCGCCAGCCGCGTGCTCCGCATCGGGCCTTTCAGACGCAATGTCTTTATGACACTTCATCCGGCTAGTGCAGCAGACTACAAGGAGTACGAGTGGCTTATCAAGTACGGCAGCTCTGAGATTTGGTATGAAAAGCCTACCAAAGCGCTTCTCAGGAGTGTGAAGACACTCGAGGCGAACCGACGGGCACCGGGTGAACTACTCCCTCTACACAATGCCAGACCAGTGAGTCTTGAGACGCCAAAAGTATGGGCATCAGCTGCCATGACGACACCGACCGACGACGACATATTTGAGTGTGTTGCTGATCATCCTGTGGATGATGGCTATGACACCGGGACATGCCACCAATGTACTGAGGCCAAGTCAGAAGCACTCGAAAGCACACCTCTCGTCTACTGTCTAGTGTTCAGTACCTGTCAAGCAGCCGATCCTTTCATTCACGGCGCCCACTTCAACGGCCGCCAGATCTACAAGCTTGTCAAGTGTGGTAGCCGCGAGGCTGCAGTTGCGGAGACTTTCTACGCCGCTGGTGTCAACGGATGGAGTCTGGCTTTTAGCTGCATCATGAAGCTAGCTGACGACTTTGAAGAGCGATGCGGTACTGCGAAAAAGGTTAACGTACTATGGATGCTGGCTGAAGAGGAGGCCGACGAAAAGATTGTCAAAATATTCTACTAACGTTCAAAAAAAAAGAGCAGTGTTTCCTGGGTTGTTTTTGCTTTCTACATCTATCCTTGCGTTTCCCAAAAAGATTCTCTTCCGCCTCTCAAAAGTTACTTCTCTCCACTCTTCGACGCTATCACCTCCGCGCATCTCAACGTAGCACGGTCAATCCTCAACATATGACCCATGGACACCACCAAGCCCTACCGAGACGAACGCATCAAGGCCTTGTACCACATCAGACGCACAGCACGAAAACACATGTGCAGCCTACCGATATGTGCAGTCCGAATCCAGTTGCATATGCCATGTATTACCATGCTTGCCTCAACCAGTTCATTCTGCGTCCAGTACACCCTCGCCGCCTACCACCAATATCGTCGAGTCGCTCAAGAGACCCGACAAACGTTGTCGAATGCTGTCTATGGTAGAGTGCAGGGACAATTCCGTCCAATCAGAGGTGTCCACGATAACGGGCGTGTCGTACGAGGCTACCTATCTCACTATCTCGTCCCTTCCTGTATGGCTGTTTTCGGCGTTCACATCACGTTTGTTTGTTGGGATTTTTGTGTTGTCTCCTTAGCTTGATTGTGTTGATTTTGTGGCGTTTAGGCTGGGATACGTATGAGGTATTACATGCCTGTGGATTGGCGTTTGCTTTAGGTTACGACTTACGAGGCTGTTGCACGGGTGTGGCGTTACGGTAGACACACGCTTTAGGATCGGAATAACGGAGACGGTGCGTCCAATGCTGGGGGAGCACGTGGCCCTTGGGTATAACGACACTACTGTATTATTAGATAAGATTTGGGCAAAGGGGTGTAAGACTGGTGCGCTTTTCGATTGCCAGCAATGGCAGAATCCCTGTGTGGATCTTATTCTTGATGTGAAGTGACGTCTTGGGTAACACCATATTTGGTGAGTGAGGTTTAGTCAAGGACTGTTCCTATCTAATTCGTTTCGTCTCTTCGCCTAGTCCACGTCCGGTGAGAAAGCCTTGGTGTTCACCCACAGATAATCGGCTATAGCGCACTACGTACTTCGTACGACTGCTGTTCCTCTGCTACGCTAAAGATTGCAGTGCACCATCTGTGTGGGAAGTTGATTTCAGGCAACGGTACACGACCCAAACTCCCGGGTATACCGAGTGACAGCTGGGTACAGTTATCGCCACAGCATTGGGTGTTCCCCGCGCGTGTACCACGGTACTACAACTTCTTCTTCGTAACCGGCTCTAAGCCTCGATGTTGCTTCGCAATCATCTGATCAAGCCTCGCATAGCAGTCCAGCGACATGAAGATACCTAATCGCGTTAGACCACATTCCCCTCGAACAAGTTCTATGAAGAAGTCAATTGAGACTATAACGTACCAGCAGCCAGATACCCTCCATACATACCACCCAGCCCTTGCGCGCCCCTCTGCACTGACGTCAACTCCTCCCAACTCAGCATCTCCGCCAGGCAGACCAGTGTCGTCAAGCTCGTCTCTAGACCAAAGACTAGCAGAGCGAGAGGAATGCGTGGATCGTTACGCAGCAAGGCAGGGATGGCCCAGAGAGTTAGGGGGAGGTGGTAGACAAGTTCAAGGAAGGTCAGAACGGGGAACCAGGCTGGGGCGTTGTAGAAGAAGCGGTCGCCATATGTGGATATGTACCAGTCGCGTAGCGAGGACATCCAGAGGGGCTTGATTTGGATTGGGTAGTAGGCCGTCAAGTCGAAGGCTGTGGTAGAGTTAGTATTGGTCAAATTGCTCATGTGGGTATGTAGTGGTTTGGTGTGTCAAGTCCGGAAGCATCGGAACGACTGATAGAGGAAATGATTCAAAAGATCGGGCCCTCGCATATGTAATCTTGCTGTACTATTGCAGCATGACAGAGCCTCCAGCCTTAGTATTCCTTCTCGGTACTTACCTAGCATCACCGGCAGGTGCACAACGAAGAAGACAAGGTAGATTAAATCGCGCTTCCGCTGAAATATAGAGACCGCCATGTTTGTATGAGCTGATGATCAATGTTTAGCAGCGTGGGTTGAAGTTGGTCGTTGTCGTGAAGTCACGTTTGTTGGCAAGCGCGTCGTACGCGTTTTCGCGCGTGGGGCATCCACGGCCCTTTCCCCATACCTATGGGGCCGCACTCTTGGCATCCGTCTCTCATCACTCCACCCACGACGTCCAACTCGAATCGAATGGACAAATTCGACAACCGGAAATTTTTGATGGGCTTCTCGTGATTTTTCCGCGAAGTTCCAATGCGGGTCGATGGTGCTCCTGCCATCCGTGCCAGACCAAAGGCTACCGATACTATACGCGAACCGCTCCCGCGTAAGCTCTAGCTCTAAGAGATCGATGTCTGAAACACGACTACTGTTCATCGGAAAGCACTTTCCTGCTTCAACCGGTCTTTCGTCCGAATGGCTATACGACTCGGACATCGGGTTGGCTGTTCGTGATCAGTTGAGCGCCGTGCCAAGCGCGGTATACCTCTGCCTGCGTGCATCAGCGTTCCGCCTTTAGCCTTCACATCTGATTTCTAAGATTCGGTTGCCACCACATTTGGAAGTCGATGATGCTACACGTGTAGAAACAATGGTCCGCACCTCTCACGACTCGATCGCACTATTGAAACTGCCGTCGCAACCGTCTAAGGATTCCTCGGAGCCTCGTCAAGTCGGCGCTCCGCTGCTACGAATTCACTGATGACGAGCAATTTAGCCTAAAGCTTTCGTCGGATGGCCCTTGGCATCCGGCCTACAGCAACCGAACGACATCAGCGGCGGATGAACCACGAACGGCACATGACTGCCAAGAATGGTGGATGCTTACATTGCTTTCCGTGTCCAATTAGTGTGCTCGAAGCCTTGGCTTGGCGGTCTTCAAGCCGTCTTTAACATGCTGCCCAGCAGCCGTTTCCTCTTGGTATGCTTAAGGGGTTAAACAGCTGTTGTTACCGATGATCTGGAAAGAGTATAGAGGCCTGTTTCCCCACAGTGCTGCGGTACGGCCACCGGGGTGCTGGATGATTATGCACATGGTGGTGCGGGCTTCGGTGGCCCCCCATACATAAGCCTGGGGTCTCCGAGTAAAGGACCGTAAGCTTTTTGGTAATCTGGGGTACTACTCAGACGGCTTTTGTTCAAGACTTTCGCCAAACTCTTCGAACGTTTCGATTATCGGTAATCGAGCATCATCATGGCTGGAGGCGGCGGTGGTGCATCTGGCTTCGATGCCGCGCTTCAAAGGCGTCAGGCCCTGATGGGCGCCAGTGGTCCTAGGGCTCTTGTGAAGAACGGCAAGGTCTTCCTGATCGCCTTGTTTGCCTGTCTCGGAGGTGTGTTGTACGGATATAACCAGGGCATGTTCAGTGGTATCTTGGCTATGCCATCTTTCGGAGCACGTACGTACTTGCGACTTCCACCGTCAGCTTGCGCTTACATTGAGTAGAAACCGACGGCTATGTCGATAACCCAACACAGAAGGGATGGCTCACAGCTATTCTGGAACTTGGAGCTTGGTTCGGAGCCGTCATGTCCGGTTTCGTTGCTGAGGCAATGTCACGCAAGTACGGTATCTTGATCGCTACAGCAATCTTCATCATTGGTGTTGTGATCCAAATTACTGCGATTTCTGGTGGTCATGAGGAGATTCTGGCTGGTCGCTTCATCACGTTAGTGAACCATCAGTACAAACCTTTCAGCATTCGCTAATCAAGCGTAGTGGTATCGGAGTCGGTGGTCTTTCCGTCATCGTCCCTATGTACAACAGTGAATGTGCACCTCCGTAAGTACACCCAAAAGGAGCTACCTCAGTACCTAAGTAACATACTGACCCGTCTTAGTGAGGTCCGTGGTGCTTTGGTTGCACTGCAACAACTTGCCATCACATTCGGCATCATGATCAGTTTCTGGATCAACTACGGAACCAACTACATCGGAGGTACTACTCTCGAGACCCAATCTAACGCCGCATGGCTCGTGCCCATCTGCCTTCAGCTCGTTCCAGCATTCGTCCTTATCATCGGAATGGTCTGGATGCCGTTCTCCCCACGTTGGCTGGTACACCATGGACGCGAAGAAGAAGCAAGGAGCAACCTGGCTTCTCTGCGCAACCTTCCCGCCGACCATGAGCTTATCGAGCTGGAATTCCTGGAAATCAAGGCACAGTCCATGTTCGAAAAGCGCAGTGTCGCTGAGGCTTTCCCGCATCTTCGCGAGCAGACTACCATGAACATCTTCAAGCTTCAGTTTGTTGCCATTGCCTCGCTTTTCAAGACAAAGGCTATGTTCAAGAGGGTTATCGTCGCGACTGTCACTATGTTCTTCCAGCAGTGGACTGGTATCAACGCGGTAAGTGCGATCCTAGGACATGCTGATCAACTACATCCGAAACACATACTAACTTGCCCACTCCCAGGTCCTCTACTACGCGCCTCAAATCTTCGAGCAAATCGGTCTCCAAGGAACCACGCAATCCCTCCTCGCGACAGGCGTCGTCGGCATCGTCATGTTCCTCGCCACCATCCCCGCAGTTCTCTACATTGACAAGCTCGGTCGCAAACCTGTGCTAGCCGTCGGAGCCCTCGGCATGGCCTTCTCCCACTTCGTCATCGCGGTCATCCTCGCAAAGAACTTTGATAATTTTGAGAACCACCGCGCGGCGGGATGGGCAGCCGTGGTCATGGTCTGGTTGTTTGTCATCCACTTTGGTTACTCTTGGGGTCCCTGTGCTTGGATTTTGATCGCCGGTAAGCTCTATTCCTACTCGCTTAAACGTTCGTTTTCTCATGCTAATACTTTATCCGACAGAAATCTGGCCCCTTTCCACCCGCCCCTACGGTACAGCCCTCGGCGGCTCCTCCAACTGGATGAACAACTTCATCATCGGACAAATCACACCCGAGCTGCTCGAAAACATCACCTGGGGCACCTACGTCCTTTTCGGACTCGTAACTACCCTCGGAGCAGGATTCATCTGGTTCTTCGTCCCCGAGACGAAGCGCTTGACGCTCGAGGAGATGGACACCATCTTTGGTAGTGAAGGCGCGGCGCTCAAGGATCAGGAGCGCATGGCGGAGATTAATCATGAGATTGGTCTTGCGGCGTACTTGCATGGCGATGCAAGCAGTGGGAATGAGACGAATGTTGTTGGGAATGAGAAGGGTATTGTGTAAGCGCAGGGACGCCTGTGGAAGAAGGGTTTTGGGTGGGAGGTGAGATTGGGGGTTGAGATTAGCTTAGTGGCAAATTGATGGTTGTAATTATTTGAATTCTTTCGATGATGCTATGGGAATGAGAGTACACGTGGTGTTTGCATTCCTTCGCTTCGCCATGTTTGGATGAATGTTGGTTCTTGTGGAATGAACTTTGTTACCATGTACATACTGAGACGGCTGATACGTGACGAAGTGACAAAGGCACGAATCAAGGCCCTACAAACCGTATCATTATCTGGATGACATGTTCTTCCTTCTCCTGCGATACGTACCCGCTACTGCGTGATCACAATCAAAGTAGTGTATCTTACCTTCATGCTTGTACCACCATCGATCTCCAGCTGGCACAGAGTCGCCATTTGGCCCAGCTATGCTTTCCGCAGTTGGATTCGCCAATTGCAAACCCATCTCAGGGATGATGTCGCGCATCAATGGGTTTCGCCTCGTTGCTGTGATAGATCTCCAACTGACTTCGACTTCTTCTTCTGGTGCAAGGACCCCTTCGGAAGATGGCTGCGCCTGTACCCTAGTACATATGCGGCCCGTGTATGTATACTGAACATTTCGTATCTTGGTGCTGAAGTATGTGGCTTGTATGTGTTCGAGGAACCAATAAACGCCATTAGAATGTCGTCCAGAGAGACCCATGGCTGTATACAGGGTGTGAAGTGTTTGACGACAGCTCGGTTGACTATGCATCGTGTATCTATACAAACACTCTGGGTCTGTTTTGTCGAATATCTCTTCGCACAGTGCCGCCACCGCATCGAAGAATACCTCAAGCACCTCTTTTGTGTAGTCAACACGCACTCGCCATCTTTCAGATGTGAGCCCTAACAACCCGTAGACTTTGTCGCGAGGATCATGGCAATCGCTCTCACAGTATGACACGATACATTCTTGCAGAGTACGCTTTCCTTGGTTACGGGCACTTTCCCAGATAGCAGCCCAGACGGCAGCCTGAAAGTTTCGTGGATGGCTACTAGCAAGGCATACACGTTCCCAGTTTAGCTCAACACCTCCGCAAACAAAGAGAGGTTCGTTCACGCTGAGCGCGATCTCCTGAATGATCCATATCCGTGAGAAGTATGGGTGGCTCAATAGAATATCAATAGCCCTTGTGCCAGGGTGATCTTCCTTGTCTCTCAGTCGACGCGCAGCCTCCATCATGGTAGGGTCGCACCCTAACCATATGAGCACATTTTTCGCCTGCTTATAGATCTTGCTCATGATACGGACTTGGTCGCTGCGCTCGGTCGGATCCTCTTGATTGATGCATATCTGATCGATCCAATAGAACACCGGCTTTTCGATTTTCTCCTCGATCCAGTCTGTGTTCAATGTTTGATTGCCCATACCCCAGGCCTCGACAGTGTAGGCATGTAGGAAGTCGAAAAGATTTTGTCGTACTTCCAAATGTGCCCTGTCGACTGCTACACTATGAGTTGGCGTCGGCTCGCCCCAAGTGTATGACAGAGCGGTATATCGAGGACAGTTTATAAGGCTGTACTTTTGCAGGCTGCATCGCGGTTGAAGGGTGCGAGGGTTTTTGCTGATTCGAACTAGCCGGAATTCTGAATTTGGCTTTTCGAGAGGTTGGTAAATGTATTTAGGCATTCTTATGGTGTGGTAAAAGTTGATTGTGTCGAAGTCCGATGAGATGTGGCAACGCGGGGTAGTGGCCTTTTACCAGGCTGACCTTCTTTTCCATCACTTCCATTAATATTTAATGGGTGGATTTAGGCTGACACTGCATTGCGATGTTTAGCGCCGACGAGGAGGCTACTTAGGTGTCAGGCTGGGTTATGCAAAGCCTTATCTGCTAGACAGGGCGTCTAAATATATTTGATTCGCTCTCATCACTTTTAATCTACAACATCCACAGTACAGCCCCAACGCCATCAAACCGCGCCACCCTTCACTTTTCTTGGACACAACAATTCAATCACTGCCCACCAGCCAACGTAGCCATCAAACTCTGCCTAAACGCCTCCTGATCCACAGCCCTCCCAATCAAAACCAACTTCGACTCCTGAACCCCGTCTTCGGGCTTGGCGTCAAGCTCATTCGTATCGTAAATCGCCCTCACACCTTGTGTAAGAAGTATCTTGCCGTCCTTGACCGGAACGCGTCCCTTCAAACGGTGGATCTCAAAGGGCTTGTGTGCAGTTTCGTTCGGTAGCGTTTCCTCCCACAAGATAGTGCGAAGGAAGAGGTCGAACTTGTCGACTTGATCGCGGGTTAAAGCCGGGAAGGAGATGGTTGAAGTGGTGATTGTGGGGTCGAGGTGACTATGTCCCTTGCTTGCGAATTGCAGATCTGTATCTGTGACTTCGTCGTAGGCGTGGAGGTCCAACACCAGTCCTTCGAGTTGCGGGACCTGGCTTTTTGTCGTCGTTTTGATGCGAGCTAGACCGTTGATAGAGCGGATTCGCTCAGTAACCTGCTCGAGTTCCTGTGGGGAAACCAGGTCGGTTTTGTTAATGATGATGACGTCTGCATGGCTGATTTGCAAGTGCGCTGTTGTGAGTAGGGGACCGTGTTCATCATGTGATGCTTTCTTTCTTTCCTCGATGTTTTCTTCGTCGCCGAGACCTTCGTCGAGGCTCTTTAGTACGTTTTTAGCGTCGACGAGAGTGACGATGCCGTCGAGGAAGATGCTGCTGCCTAAGCCATCATCAAGCCAGAACATTGGTGCGATGTTTCCGGGGTCGGCTAGACCGGTTGTTTCGAGTAGGATGTAGTCGAATAGGCCGGATTGCTCCATTAGGTTCTCGATGGCGGCTACGCCAATGTCTTTTACGGAACAGCATATGCAGCCGTTTGCGAGTGGGACAAATGGGGCGGGTTGGGCGGATGTGGAGTTTGCGTCGGAGACAGTGAGTTGTTTTTCGATGTCAATTGCTGTGTCTTCTGTCAGAGTGATGCTTCATGTTCGGTGAAAGGTGAGCATACAGTCACCGAACTCATTCAGAATGACGGCAATCTTTTTTCCATGTTGCTCGGTCAAAATATAGTTGAGCAAAGTCGTCTTTCCCGCACCAAGATACCCTGTAACTATGGTAATGGGCACTTTACCCTGTGGTGCTTCCTCCGAGGTCGCCACAAGATTGGGTATTTCCTCATCTTGGTCGTCCAGGACCTTGGTGTTAGTCTCTGGCTGGACTAGAGTGGGGACTTCATCGTCTGATACGTTTCCGTCCATGGCCGGCAAGCTGTTAGTAGATAATTCGAATGTCGAGGAGGGGTGCCAGAGCGTCAAGATGCAGTTCTAGAACGAGTTAGAACGAGTTAGAACGGATGATCTGGAGGTAGGTGCGTAAGAACATGCAACCCTAAAGTACACGATGCACCCATAACGACTTACCTAATCGCAGCTACTTCGGGATTTTGGAGGCCAAGAGAGACGGCAATGACGTCGTGGGGTGGCAGAGTCATGTAGAAAAATGGTCCACCGCGACTGACGCGCGATGAAGCTAGCGCCGTCGCGTATTTCCTAGTTGACAAGACCCCTGCCCATGCCCTGCATCCGCAAGCTCCAGGTATCAACAACACACGCCGCCCCGCCTACCTGTCGCCAGACGCCTACTGTGATCGCAATTCACTCACTACCACCCATCATTCCGCAAATATGACGTCGCCCGCTTCACCGCGCCTTCCCAGCCCGCCGCCCATTCCAGAAGACCAGCTCTCGCCAGTATCCGCGTCGCCAGAGCAGCAGAAGCTGTTCAGCAACCTCGACCATGCCGCTGAGCGGAGAATACGACCGGGGACTAAGGCGGAAGATATGGCAGAAGGACCGCCACTGGTAGAATTATCAGAGGTGTGCGAAGGCATACTACAATAAAGATAGCGCCTGGCTGACAAGATGCGCAGATTGACTCGGCATTCCAACTTACAGAGCACCTCAAAGCCCTCCACTACTCGCTCACGCACCCCGCCGGCTCGGATGGCACTGTGCCAGTAGACAGAAACATGGCATTGAAGATAGCACAATCACCTGCCAACGTGGACAGGACGCTGTGGCTATACGAACTCTGCCGCTTCCTCATACAAAAGGTCAACTCCATCATTACCGCCCTCTTCGCAGACGACCCGCCGTGTTCGTCCCTGACGTGTCCCGAGATGCGCGCTTCCGAGTGGCAGTACCTCTGCGCCGTACATGACCCGCCAAAATCATGTTGTGCTATCGACTACTGCTGCCACACGCTCGACTGGGCGGCTAACACCCTCACATCACCCAAGCACTTTCCTTCGCGGCTCGCGCTTGGCACCGACTCGTCAACGCAACACTCACAAATGCGCCAGTTGACCAACATCTTCAGACGCGTATATCGGATCTTTGCGCACGCATGGTACTCGCACCGAGAAGTCTTCTGGAAGGTCGAGGGGCGCACAGGCCTATACATATTCTATAAGACAGTCTGCGATGTATATGGTCTGGTACCAGAGGATAACTACACCATCCCTCCTGAGGCTGAGGGCATCGAGCCATCAACAGAGGTCAAGCCGTCAGCGCCACCTCTGATCATGAAGCGAGAGCCCTCTGATTCGACATCGGAGATTTCAAGTAACACACTGGCAGACGGAATGTCTGATCATTCGCTATCAACGGCTGGAACAACCAAGCGACATAGGCATTCGCCATCAGTTGGAGCCACGGCCGTTCAAACAGTTGTAGAGGAGAATGAGGAAGAGGAGGAGCGTCCAGTTCTTCAAGCGCGACCAGTCACTCAAATCTTCGAATCGGCACAGGAGGACGAGGAAGAGGAGGAAGCCGATAGCGACGGCGACGTCACGGCTATTGAAGATAACAACGAAGACGACGATGACGAAGATGATGACGAGGACGAAGACGAGGACGAGGCTGAAGCTGCTGAGGAGATAACACACGCAGATGCCAAGGACCCCACGACTGAAGCAGACAAGGAAGGCGCGGGCGAGGAACAGGCAGCGGG